CCCAAGGACTGGCCCATAGATTTCCACTGCTCTCCTCTCCTCTGCTTTGTATGCACCTGCACGTCAGGCACTGGATCCAGGTGTTCCTCCTCTTCCTCATCAGCCACCTCAGACCTGGGGGCTGTTGGCTCTCCATCTGAGGGCTGATGGACAGCCCAGGCTCTCTCTCTCTCTCTCTCCCAGTTCCATTCTCCCTTGGAGCTCCCGTCCCGAGGACCAGCCCATAGATTTCCACTGCTCTCCTCTCCTCTGCCTTCTGCGCATCTATGCATCAGGCACTGGGCCCAGCTGTTCCTCTTCTTCCTCATCAGCCACCTCCAGACCTGGGGGCTGTTGACTCTCCATCTGAGGGCTGATGGACAGCCCAGGCTCATCCTCTGTCTCTCTCTCTCTCTCTTTCTCTCTGCCGACTCCATTCCCTCTTCCCCGTTGGAGCTCCCAGGTTGCCTTGATACTGAACCTGACTCCCACGCCGCCTCCTCCTCCTCCTCCTCCTCCTCCTCCTCCTCTGATTCGGCTGCTGGAGGAGCCAGCATACTTACATGTCATTTCCCAAGTGCCCGAATTTTGATCACGTGAAGTTGCAAAGTGTGAAAAGCTTTTTCCACCGTCGTTTTAACTTCAGTCACTATATGAACGGCTGTAAGTCAAAAACTACTTGTGATGTAGCGATATTCGGTAACAGCAAAACTGTCTCCTAGGATTAACAAGGGAGGGGGACGAGGCCTACTGCACAAGGGATCTAGCAAAGGCAAATAAACAGTGCGAACGTTCGGGTGTGCAATGTTTTCTTTACACGTTAGATTAACACCGCAAAATGTGTCATGTTTAAATAAGCCAACAATTGGGTAAGAAGCCGCAGCAAAGCTCGGGCACAATTGGGTGATGTGGGCAGGAAGGAAAAGCTTTATTAACTATAAAGATGACTTTCCAACTTGGTTTTCCAGCCCAGACATAGCAAGAACTCCAACCTCTGGCTAATTTTATGCCGCCACATATTTAAAGCAATGTCACGCCTGCTTTTACGCATCAGCCTTGCGAGGTAATAAAGATAAGATAGACAGTGAGGTGGGATAGCTCTGCCTTTACTGTAAGGTGACATTAACAGAATCTTGCAAGACTCAAAGGGTCTCTCTCCCTTCGACTCCCCCGCAAAAATTGGAAGGGTACTTTCTGAGATGTTTGCCAAACCCTGTTCCTTTGGTGGGATCAGCTGCGTCTTATCCAAATGTTTTCTGGTCATTTGTTTTTCTTCTGTCTCCCAAGGTCATTTGCTCATACCCTGACATTTCAGAATAATAGAATTGGAAGAGACCTTGGAGGTCTTCTAGCCCAACCACCTGCTCAAGCAGGAGGCCAAAGAGTTGTCCAATCTCTTCTTAAAAAGCTCAACTGGTGTCATGCTCCTGTCGGAATCTGACTTGAAGGGGGAGGCCGAACAGGTGACAGGGAATGGGAGTGGTGGCTCCGTTGGCTGTGGAAGAAACTGGGGAAGGACAAAGTCCGGCTGGCCAGAGCAGGGGAGAGGTAGAACAAGGGAGAGGGAGTTCAGAGGAAGACCCAGGCCCACCCCCTCTTCATCCTAGGGCACGCAGGGAGGAACAGAGAAGAGAGCAACATGGATTGTGTGGCTTATGGGGGAGGAAAGGGCCCTGATTCCCTTCATTAGCTGTAGCTGGGAACACAATGTATAAAAAAAGCAAGTTGTGTTGGGAGCAAAAGTGAATTTATCTTGTATCGTTGTGGCTAATCTGTGTTTCTGGCGTCTTCCCAACTGTGTGAGTTTTGCCATGCCTTCAAGTCTGAAATTCTTGCTCCCGTCCTGCCAAAGTAATTACTTCAGTTTGGCTTGTTTGGAATTTAAGTTACAGTTTGTGTTGCTCATGTTTTGGACTGAATTTTCTGCAGTCAAAGGCCGTTCCTGGGAGAGTTTTTCTTCAGCCAAAGGTAACCTGGACATTGGGGGCAAAGGTGTAGATAATAAAGGGACTCTTATTGCTTATTTGGCTGTGTTGCCTTTGTGCCACGCCCCTTTGGGTCATCATAGCTGGTGTGTGGAAGGCTGCATGCACGCGTTAGGTGCATGCACATTAGGTGCATGTGTGTGATCACCAAACCGGTAATGGAACAGGTAGGATCCCACTGCTGACTTAACCGCTGCGGGAAGAAAAGTCGGAAGATGGGGGCAAAATTTACCTAACGACAGTCTCGTTTAGCAAGCAGAAAATCTGGTGGGGGGGGGGCTCCTTTGTGGTCGTAAGTCGAGAACCAACTATTTTCTGTGACTTTCTTATTTACCTGGCTCTTGACTTTCCAGGATGTGTTTTGAAAAGGAGGAGGGAAGCGTTGAGGTTGCTAGGCAGGTATTAGGTGAGCTGTTTGGGGTCCAGCTGTGCCGCTGGAATGATTTTTTTTTCCTCCTCGCGTCTGCCGTATGATCCATCTTCCTGTCAAAAAAGAGGCAAGAGCAAGCCAAGAATTCCCCCTAAAGGCTGCGTGAACTTTTCCCTACCAATTTAGGGGTGAGGTTAAAAAGAAGAAGAAACAGGAAGGAAATCGCTCCGATAAAAATATAACTTTCCCGGGTTGAGGTATAATAGGACGGTAACTCAACTGGTGTCCCAGCGTATCTTGGGGAAAGGAAAGGTTCAGAGAGCAGATGTGGCAATAAATTTATTTATTTTTTTCCCCTTACCCCTGAAAATAAAGTTTGCACTCTGTAACTCCGCTCATAACCCGACTGGATGCAACGAGAGGTAGTCCTCGGTTTACAGTTTAAGGAGGCTTCAAAGTTACAGCACTGAAAAAAGGGACTGGGGACCATTTTTCACACTTAACGACCATGTCAGCATCTCCAGGGTCATGTGATCAAAATTCGGGCACTTGGCAACTGCCATGTATTTATGCATGATTGCTCTCTCTTCCTCTTTCTCTCTGCCTTTCTTTCTCTGTTTCTCTTTCTCTCTCTCCTTTTTCTTTCTTTCTCTTCCTTTCTTTCTCTTTTTTTCTCTCTTTTTCTTTTTCTTTTTCTCTTTCTCTCTTTTTCTTTCTTTCTCTTTGTTTTTCTTTTTTTCTCCCTTCCTTTCTTTTTCTTTTTCTATTTCTCTCTTTCTTTCTCTCACTCACTTTCTGTTTCTTTCTCTTTTTTCTGTCTCTTTCCCTCCGTCTCTCTCTTCCCCTTTCTCTCTCTCTCTTTCTCTTTATTACTTTCTTTCTTTCTCTTTTTCTTTCTATTTCTCTCTCTTTCTCTCGCTTTCTGTTTCTTTCTCTCTCTTTTTCTGTCTCTTTCTTTCTCTTTCTCTCACTCCTCCCTCTTCTCTCTCTAACAGACAGTGAGAAAGAGACCTCTAAGGCCTTCATTTCCCACCTTTCTGGCTATTTTTCTTTTCTTTTCTCGAAACCCGACATCTGGTCCCGTGTTTATTTAGCATCCTTTGTTGACCTGCAAATTATCCATTCTTGCCTGTGGCCTTCCACAGCGCAAGCTTTATTTTCTTGGATGGAAATGTATGTATTTTCCATCCATGGCATTGCTTGGGATCAAATGATAAAGGAGACGTATGTATATTTGTGCGAGCATGTGAGGGCAGGCAGCCAGGTGTGTAATAAGCAGTGCTGGCAGCTTGTCAACATGCAAAGTAGGAACTTGTGTGGTGAGATACAGGAGAGCCCTCAACCTAATGACCACAATTGGCAACAGAATTTCCATTGCTAAGCAAGGCGCTAGTTGAGTAAGCTGCGCTTGATTTTTGCAAGCTTTTAGTCGTGGCTGTTAAGCGAATCACTGCGGTTGTTAAGTGAACCATACAGTCGTTAAGCAAATCCTGCTCCCACCATTGACTTGCTTGTCGGAAGTTTTCTGAGAAGGACACACATCACAATTGTGCATCCCGGCAATGATGCGACTGTTTGTAGATACACGGCAGTTGCCAAGGATCTGAATTTCGACCACGTGACCCTGAGGGTCTTGTGATCATTATAAATGCGAGGACTAGTCGTAAGTACAGGCAGCCCTCCACTTACAACAGCCCATTTAGCGTCCATTCCAATTTACAACGGTACCCAAAAAAGAAAAAAGGGGGACTTAGAACCATTTTGCACACTTAAAAACCCTTGCGGCGTCTCCACAGTCACGTGATCAAAATTCAAGCACTTGGCAACTGACTTGTACTTATGATGGTCGTTGTGGCCTGCCCTCCCCCAGGGAAACATGATCCCCTCTTGCAACCTTCTGACCAGCAAATGTTCATTGGGTAAGCCAGACTCGCTTAACAGCCATGTTGCTGACTTAACAACGGCAGGGACTGACTTAACAATTTTGGCAGAAACGCCGTAGAATAGGGCAGAAGTCACTTGACAAATGTTTTGGCCGGCGAAGGAAAATTTGGGTCCCTTTGCGGTCGTCCGTTGAGGTCTACCTGTACTTTTTCTCAGCGCTGTTGCAAGTGTCAGTGTCAGGATTCTGGCAGTTATTAAATCATGAGTCTTGAGCCAAACTTCCAAAACTTCAAATGGATTTATTGGGAGTTAACATGCCGGCACTGCCTGGGTGGAGCCAACTTGAAGATACATAATTCATTGTCACCCTTGACCCTGGTTTTTTTCCTCCACCCCCTGGGTGCATCGTAATTCATATCCTCCAATGGGACACATCCCTAGCCCAGAGTCATCAATCCTGCTCTCCAGTTAGAATTTGGCAGGGCAGAAACTTCAGTCACCTAGTTACTATCTTTGAAAACATTTCTGGAATGCAGTTTCGCTTTCCAAGCTGCTGCACTGCTTCCCCCTCCCTTTCTTTTGGCAACTCTAAAACGACCATAGAAATGTTTTATGAGTTGACAGAACAGTCGTGAAACGAATGTCCGTATGTTAAGGACTACCTCTGGTTGCTGTTTTAGCCTCCAATCTAGCCGTAACGAAGGGTCACCGTCGATGACACGAGTGAAAGGAGTCGCTATCGTTGAAGCCCCTCACAGTTGACTCTTCGTTTCCTTCCGCAGATCATCCAAACCTTTCGAACCCCTCCAGGCTCCGGACCCCTCCGCCTCCTCTCTCTCACGCCCACACGCCAAACCAACACCACGCCGCGTCCATCAACTCTTTAAACCGAGGGAACTACACACCACGCAGTAATCCCAGCCCTGCACCTACAGACCATTCACTCTCTGGAGAACATCAGGCGGGGAATCAAGAACCTACACATGCTCAGGACAACTGGTTACTAAACAGTAACATCCCGCTGGAGACCAGGTAAAGTCTGTTTTCCTTCCCTCCCTCCCTCCCTCCCTCGGTATGAAATGTTATAGTTGTTGTATCTTCTGGAATGTCATAAAAATGCTCGAAAGGACAACTTCATCATTTGGGTTCTGTTCTGACCTAGGCTTCCCAAAATCACGACAGCAAAACCTCGTCCCGACAAAAGCCTTTTTATTAGGCTGGAATGTGAATTCCCCGCGTTCACATCCAGCAATGTGCCAGCAAACAGTCTTTCAAGGACGAATTACAACCACAGACTTTTATCAAGCTTGGAGAGCTGCCAGGCCAATATCTTCCAAATGCCACTCTGTAGCAGACAATACTTGGCAAGAAGTCAGGAACAGATCTGCGCCTTAATGAATTGAACTAATTGTCTGCTGCAAACTCCACTCCCCTTTCACTCCTCTTTTATTCCCTATGGGAGGGGCCATTCGCCGTCCACCTGTGCCTTTACTCCTTTACCCTTTTTCCTTAACTTTTCCCTTCTCCCGGCAGCTCTGTGCATGCACACACTGGGAACAGGCTCCAGCTGTTCTTCTGCCTCACTGATCTCCGACTCCAAAGGTAGCTGATAACTGTTAGACGGCCCTGGTCCCATCTCTGCCTCCGACGCAGAGCCCTCATCAGAGCCTTCCCCAGACTCCAGGACCGGCCCATGTTCCTCCCCAACCTCTTCACTGTCCAAGTTTGCCGCCAGATCTGCTGGCCGCTGGCGGGCCACAACAGGTTCCTCCAAAAGATAGAAGAGATACGGATCGATTTTATGAATGTCAGTAATATCATATGCTATGTAGAACTACTCATCCGTAATCCATTCGGCATGGCCCGTTTTCACTCCTCTGAACTTCTGGTTGGTCCCTGATTAAATTTCTGAAATATAGGCAGTCCTCATCTTACAGCAGTTCATTGAGTTGACCATTCAAAGTTACACTGAAAACAGGGACTTGGGATTTTTCACGCTTAAGACCATTGCAGCATCTCCGTGGTCACATGATCAAAATTCAAGCGCTTGGTTCGTATTTATGACCGTTGGGGGTATCCCGGGATCATGCAGTCCTCTTTCTATGACCTTCTCCCAAGCAGAGTCAACGGGGGAGCCAGATTCACTTCACCACCATTTTATTAACGTAGCAACTGCAGTGGTTCCCTTAGCATCCGTGGCAAGAAAAGTCGTAAAATGGCGGACCGAACAACTGTGTTTGCAACGGGAATTTTGGGCTCAACTGTGGGCAAAAGTTGAAAATGACCTGTAGGCTCAAAATTATCCAAAAAAATAGCGTCAAGCTCCTTGCAGCTGCTTGTAGCTGAGATGATTAGATTCTTAGAACCAGATTTATTGAAAGCAGAAAAGAGATTAGCTTAATAATTTTGAAAATGAACTCAGTGTGTTTTAAGCTTCCTTTTTCTTAGTAAATTCATGAGCTCTCCTGAGCTATCTAATCTGAAGTAGCTCCAATTATTCATGGCTATACATCCTACTGCCAGCCAAATTCCAATAGCAAATAACACTTAGATTTGTATACTGCTTCACGGTGCTTTCCAGCCCTCTCTAAGCAGTTTATGGAGTCAGCCTGTTGCCCCCAACAATCTGGGTCCTTATTTTACCGATCTCAGAAGGACGGAAGGCTGAGTCGACCGTGAGCCAGTCAGGATCGAATTGCTAGCAGTGAGTTAGCCTGCGGCACTGCATTCTAACCACTGCACCACGATAAGCTCCTTAACTCCAAACTTAACAAAAGGTTCAGGATAGGTAGCGATCCTTTCTTAACCAGTCAGCCACAATTCAGCCTTCCCGCCACATTCTTTTGCCTGAGACTTTGTCCAATTTCCATTATTCTATGCCTTTTATCCTAAACTACCTGTAGTTCCCCCAAAATAAGACTGGGTCTTACATTAATTTTTGTTCCAAAAGACTAATTAGGGCTTATTATCTAGTTAGGTCTTATTTTGGGGGAAATATGTTACTAAAATGCATCTGTCTGGCTGACAATCTTAACTGGGGCTTATTTTGGGGGTAGAGTTTATATTAAGATCATCCTGAAAAATCACGCTAGGGCTTATATTCCGGTTGGGTCTTAATTTTCAGGGAAATTTTCAGGGTATGTAAATAACCTGTACATCATGATGCACACCTTTGACACTTTAGATGTCTAAGTGTTCTTAATTGTTTTGCAACCTTTGAAGAAGTGTGAACATTGCTGGATAATGCAGTATGATCTCTCCTTTAGCGCCAGCCATATTCGTTTTTTTCCTAAGATGCTTATACAGTTCTTAGTCATCCTCAGTCTAAAATGGTCCAGATAACAACTCGTGACCATTATGGTGAATTTTAAAGTGGGCAAAGATGATTGGAGAAACAGATATCGCTAGTACCGTAGGTTGCACCAAAGCAAACCTCCTTCCACCATGGTTTATGGATGGTGTAACCATTGATTGGGTTCATCTGGTAGAGGATTTCTTACCTGAGCAGGAGGTTGGACTACAAGACCTCCAAGGTTTCTTCCAACTCTTCTATTCCATATCATGGGTTCACCCATGGTTTTCAAACCACAGCTAGGTCCTGCAAGGTTAAAACCAAGCCAATTAACCAGCAGAAGAGCTTGCCTCCAGAGATGGTAGGCGCTCAATCTCTGCATGGTTTAAAAAAGAGTCTAGACTGTCATTTATCAAAGTTGGTATAGATTCTCCTGCTTTTGAGCAAGGGGCTGGAATAGAAGACCTCCAGGGTCCCTTCCAGCTTATTCTATTCCAGTGATGGTGAACCTTTTTATTGTGGTGTGTCAAAAGTGCACGTGCGTGTGTTTGGGCACCCACAATACAATGTGCCCCCCCCCCCCGCACATGTGTATGCAACACCCCCGCCCCCTTACCTGCACCGTCCATGCACACACCTCCCAGCTGATATTTGGCCTGTTGGAGGCCATTTTCTCCCTCCCGGAGGCTTTAAGGAAGCCTCTGCAGCCTCGGGAGGCCGGAAAATGGGCCCATTTCAGCACTTCCGGTACTTCATTCTCTTATTCATTCAAAATCAATCAGTTATAAGATGTTATTACTATTACCACATATTTCAGTTTCTTGTTGTTCTGTCTAATCCAGTGGTGGCTAACCTTTTTGGGATCCTGTACCCAAAATTGTGTGCGCGCTTGCACGCTTCCACTTGCACCCAAAAGGGTGCAACCCAGAAGCGCTTGCACCCAGAAGGCAATGCGCATCCCCCCCATGCCCCCCACGCATGCGCGCATAATCCCTACTTACCCACACCGCCCCCTTACCTGCACCGTACCTCACAGCTAATTTTCGACTGGTTTGAGGCCTTTTTCGGCCTCCCAGAGGCTTGAGGAAGGCTTCTGCAGGCTTCTGCAGGCCGAAAACTAACCCTGTTTCGTCACTTCTGGTATTTTCAGAAAAACAGGAAGTGACGAAACAGGGCTAGCTTTCGGCCTGCAGATGCCTTCCTCAAGCCTTTGGGAGGCCGAAAGAGGCCTCAAACCAGCCGAAAATCATCTGGGAGGCACGCACATGCACAGTGCAGGTAAGTTTGGCTAGGGCTCGCATGCCTGTACAAACGGCTCTGCGTGCCACCTGTGGCACACCTGCCATAGATTCACCATCACGGTTCTATTCAATCAGCTCCTAGTCTAATGCTGCGCATGAAATCCACTCTATCAGCTGCTTAACGCTTGAACCACAGTCTCAGGGGCACTTTTCAGTGTATTCTGCTCTCAAGCTACGGCTTCCCTTAGTTTTCATAGGGGAATAACTTGCATTTTTTTGAGTAGAGGCAGTCCTTGACTTACAAGCATTCGTTTAGTGACCATCTGAAGTTACGACAGCACTGGAAAAAAGTGGAAAAAAGTTTTCCACCCGTAACGGCCGTTTCTGCATTCCCACGGTCACGGGATCAAAATTCAGACACCTGATTCCTACTTGCTGTATGACGGTTGGCATCTGACTCATACTTATGATGGTCGCAGTGTCCCATGGTCACGTGATTCCCTTTTGTGACCTTCTGACGAGCAAACTCAAGCGGGAGACCGATCCACTTAACAACCCTATTTCACAAGTGCAACGATTCGTTTTTCCGACCGCCCGAGAAGCAAAATCAACGGGGAAGCCAGATTCACTTAATGACTGCATTACTAACTTTAAGAACTGCCGTGATCCACTTAACAACCATGGCAGGAAATAGCATCAGGTGGGTTAAAAATTCTCTTGATCCCTGTCTCGCTTAGCCACCCAAATTTGGGGCTGAATTACGGTCATTAAGTCAAGCGTTGCCTACCGCTTATTTCCAACCAATTCCTACCACTGGACGAAGAAGAAAAAGGGAGGCGGGAGGAGGAAAAATATCCCCTAGTTGTCTCCTTCCACTTAAAAAATATCACTGACGTGAGCTGGAGCTTGTAAAGCCATTTCGCCCGTTTAAAATGGCCGCGGGTAGAATAATTTCATTCCCCAAAGCGGCGTAATTAAATCGATATTCTATTTAAGAAACTGCAATGGGTCGATATATTGAAAAGATTCACTTTCTGAGCAGGGCGGGAAGGAAGGAGCGCAAATGGAGTCGACTGCATAGGAGAAAGCCCCATCTGGTTAGGAAATAATCATTTGATGGTTGCCGGCTGCATTTTTGCTCTTATTAAAATGCTAGCTCTGTACCCGTGCATCGCTACAAAACTACGTGGCCGGGTTTAGTTTTGGGGGAGGAAAATAAGGGGAAAAAATTGTGCCTCTGCCTATCAGCACCCATCGGTATTCATCTGGCTAGCGTCCTGTCAGCGTGTCAAGAGAGTTGAGGGCTGTTTGGGAACTGAAAGGGTGTTTGTTGTGTGAATAAGAAGGAGACAGCGAGGAGCCTGGGCATGGCTTAGCTCAACTGTTCTATACTAAAGCTGCTTGCTCTGAAACTAAAACTAAAACTGAAACTCCTCTCCTCTGCTTGGGTTTTGCCTTTGGGAGAGATTTCTTTTCAGGTGGGGAGGGGGAGTTGAACT